AGCCAGTCCTATTTGACTAACATCTAATATTTACCTCTCAACTTCCTCTCACCTTCAATGATAGACTGAAAATAGAAGCTCTCCATATTGGGGTCACTCAAGGTTGGCATTTTAAATAACTTTAAATATTTCTTAATAATAACTTTATTGAGCTATAATTCATATACCATAAAATTCACCAACTTAAAGTATATAATTTAGTATTTTTTAGAATATCCACTGAGTTATACAACCATCCACCCTAGAACATTCTCATCACCCCTAAAAAGAAACTTCATGTTAGTTTTCAAGAATTTTCTTAACACAGTACCACAAGGGCCTGGCTTAACATAGCAGAAACCATTCTGTCAGTCCTGAAATCTAGAAATCCAAGATCAAGGTGTCAAAACTGAATGAATTTACATTCCCTCTAAACCTAGGGAAGGATCCTTCCCTACTTCTTCCTTGGCACTGTTGGCTCCCAACAGTCCTTGGCAGTCCTTGGCTTGTAGCTGCATCACTCCAGTTTCTGCCACTGTCTTCACATGCCCTCTTCCCTTTGTGTGCCTCTGTCTTTACCTGGCCCTCTAAGAATTCCAGTCATGTGATTTAGAGCCCATCCTAATCCACTCTAATCTCAAAAGTTGTTTTTATTGCCAAATAACTCTCAGATTAGTATTGATCAAATATCTATATAAGCATAGCCAAGACAGTTTCAATTCTATTCATTCAGGTTTTATTTATTGTTGTTATTGCATTCTGCTTAAGTGATCATTGAAGTAGAGCTAGAGAACTCCTTCCAATTTTAAGATTTAGGAGAATGATAAATTCTTTTTTCCCTATCTGATTCATTTCTTTTTGCTTTCCTTTTCTTTTTTATCACTCAAAAAATTCATTTTTTTTAATTTTTTGGGGGGATACCAGATATTGAACCCAGTGTCAATTTAACACTAAGCTATATCTCCAGCTCTTTTTATTTTTATTTTTTATTTTGAGACAGAGTCTCACTAAGTTGCTGAGACTGGGCTTGAACTTCTGATCCTCCAGTCTCAGGCTCCTGAGCAACTAGTATTACAGGCAGGTACCATGAATCCCAGCAAAAGCTTAATAGTTTAAAAAAAGAAAAACACTAACTTTCTGAGTCTGTGCTTATGCCTTCAACATTTTCACAATAACCTCCTGTCTCCTTAAGAAATAAATTATGCTTGATCCTGTTCTGGAAACATCTAGTTAATGGAAATATGTTCAATTTAATTATATTTCATATTAGAATTTATATAATTGTTTGCCTATTCTTGCTCTTAATGGTATATATACATAGTTTTGTATATGCCCACATTTCTAGAGAATAGGTACTCTAGAATATGACCTAGTCAAAATAAAAGTTCTAATCATTTACTGACTATTAACTATGTTCCTAGAATAATACTAAGCACTTTGAATGTAGTATTTTATATTTTTCTCACAAGAATCCTAAGTAACAGGATATATTATTATATATGAGGATGTAGAAACCTTGAAATACTACCCAAGGACACATAGCAAATAAATTACAGGGGGATGTGTCAGTTATAAATGAATTATCTTTCAATATTGTCCTGTTTTAAAAAATATTTTTTAGTTGTTGATAGACTTTTATTTTATTTATTTATATGCAGTGCTAAGCAGCATACCTAGTGCCTCACATATGCCAGGCAAGTGCACTACTGCTGAGCCATAGCCCCAGGCCAATATTGTCCTGTTTTTGATACTGAAATATTTCTCCCTTAGCCAGTTGGCATGTTGTTAAGCTTTCTCAGTAGAAAACACTGGAGTGACAATGGAGGAGGTTAACTTTCTTATGTTCCAGTGTGCTTTTACATTTCATTCCTGTGACTCTGGTTAGCCTGTGGAAAAGGTAGAATTTGGCATGTTGTATAGGTGCTCCAGTGGTGAATTCAACATGGGTAGCAAATCCATAGGGAGCTTCCTGGAGTCCCATCTGGTCTCCCAAGTTCAGAAGCAACCACTACAGGCAGTTTCCTAAGGAGTTTAATGTGTAAAACAACCAGCTTCTCAAAAAAAAAAAAAAAAAAAAAAAAAAACCAGTAAGAAGACTGAGGTTGTAGCTTAGTGGTAGAATGCTTGCCTAGCATGTGTGAGGCACTGGGTTCAATGTTCAGCATCACATAAAAATAAAAAAATAAAGGTATTATGTCTGATTAAAAAACAAAAAAAATAAAAATAAAAAACAATAACATCCATTATAAGCTACTTTCCTATAAATTTTGTCAGCACCCAATCCCAATAGTCCATTCATAGTAACTTGAGCACCCTAACTACAAATTAGCTCTTGGCAGCAAACTCTATTGCCATCTTATGGATCCCAGAAATAGGCTTAACAAAGAGGTTTGAATATAGTTTTGGGTAGAGATCCTCCCTTTCCCACTCAGTTCCTTCCTTTGATACTATCCCTTATTCCCAGGGCATTGTGTGTGTGTGTGTGTGTGTGTGTGCGCGCGCACACACACACACATGCTTATGCACCCACACCAGGACATTCTTTATAGAGTTCTCTTTCATTGTTCTTAAGAATTATGAAAAGAGCTGTTACACACACACACACACACACACACACACACACACTAATTAATTCCCAGTAAACAGATAATACTTCTTTAGGAAATCTTTCCTTTTTAATTGATGATGTAATTTTGGTGCCCTTTCTGCACCCTGACTAATTCCAGGGATTATTCCTATCTTAAGTTTTTCTTATTCAAAATTTCATGCTTTAGCAATGCAGTACAGTATTATGGTAGAGCAGCTATTCTATCAAAGTGTCCTTAGTTGAATTATCACAAGTTGAGTATGCCTTACCCAAAATGCTTGAGAGAAGAAATATTTTAAATTTTAGATTTCTTTGGATTTTAGAATATTTGCACCTAATGAGATATTGTGGGGATTGCTCCATACACAAAATTATTAATTTCATATACATTCTACACACATAACTTGAAAGTAATTTTATACATTTATAGTGTGCCTGCATCTCATCATATAAAATCAGGTTCAATTTTTTCAAAAAGGATCAGCAAAAAAAATAAGCCAATTACTACGTATAACCATAAAGCTCTAATAAAAAATTGTGAATTTGGAACATTTTGGATTTCAGATTATAGATGCTTAGCATGGACTTATGTTGGTTTCATATCAAAGACCTTTGAAATACAAGGCCATAAGTAGTTTGTGTTTATAAATGGTTATAAAATTATTTTATGAATAAGGCTTATGCCAAGATCTGATTAGGGAATGGGGTATTCCTAAAGTTGGACCTTAGCCAAAGCCAGTTTCACAATGGGATTTCTGATTTTTTTTAACTTGAACTATAACTTCTTAGCTGAAAATAATATACAAATATAAATAAAAGAATATTATAACTCTAGAGCAAAATCCAAATTTAAATTACCATCAATTTAGTTACCACCTAGGAATATCTACTTTGACTCACATTCAGTAACAGAATAGTAAGGAACAAACAATGAATTGTTTCAAATTTATCCTTTCCAATGTCCAATCCCTTATGTTCATATGGATAAACTACTTACTGGCATACAGTGTCAGGATTAAAACCTGGAGGCTGTTCCTACCACACCTATACAGATCTATTTTACTGTCAGCTAATTCTCTTCAGGATATGAGAGAGAAGAGGTCCTATTCAGGACTTTTCTTCTAGTTTAAAACATGTAAAACTTATCCATTTAAATATCAAAAGGGTTCCTGAAGGTCTCCCTAGGGAACACTGCACTTAGTCTCTGTTTTCCCCTTCACACCCTATATGGATAGTATTGATTACGTCCTGTACACAATAGGAAATCAATGAATTTTGGCTTAAACAATCAATCTATAAATTATGCTGGATAATTTTTCTTATGTATTAGCCAAAGTGTTGAACAGTATCTCACATATAGTAGATGCTCTCAGTAAATGGATATGAAACTAAACATCATGATGAAACAGGTTATTTTTAAAAATCCATTTTTTATTTATGAAGGAGTATGAAAACAGTATTTGATTAGGAGAAATATGTTAAGTTTGATTTGAAAAGTTATGTATATGTATGTGAATTCAGAAATATGAAAATTTATTTTATATATAAAAAGTTGTTGTGTTATTTGGGAGGAATAAACAATATCCAGGGTCCTAATGGAATCATATGTATTATTAAGAGATTATATGTGAGTATAACAAATGTGTATGGGGTTTTGTGTACTAGAGACAGATGAGCATATAAAGACTAACAATCCATATTGGTATTCCTGGGTAAGGAAATCAAGTCTGATTCAGATAAGATCTGACTTGAATACTGAGACAGGGGCAAAGGACAGGTAGCTCATTATCAAAGAAAGGAAATAGTTTGCTAACAGCTAACCTCAGGATTTTATTCCCACCGCAATGCTAACACACCTCCAAAGATCTGGGAGATTCATACTTCCCAATGTAAGGAGCTGCAAATGAACATGCTCTGGATTGCTATTTTCCTACCTTCACATAGGCAGGACAAAGAGAGGTGGTGGAGTGGAGAGAAAATCTAAGATCTATAAAAAGGCAAGACACATCCACTCCTGTGGATTCCAGCTCTGGGGCTCCTTCTCTCCAAAGAAATCTATCTCTGTCTCTATCTTTAATGAAACTTGCTTCTACTCTTGCCTAGGTGTTTCTTGGGTGTTTAATCTTCAACACAGGGTGAATGAGGACTGGATCCTGATTTCCAAGACTGGTATCAATACTGGATTATTCATTACTTTGTAGACTTTAGTATGGTACTGTTCTTGGTATATCTCAGTTTCCTGTTTAAAAAATCCTACATAAATGAAGATAAATTATAATATACACGTGTAAAGAACTCAGTCAGATTCTGGTGCTGCTCAAACACCTGGAAGTTGAGCTAGCACTGAAACTATTCCTCATTTTATCTGAGATTTCTATATCTGCTATACATTTATGAAAATAAGATTAAAGACATTTTTCACTTATCTTCATACCTCTTCATGTAGTTCCCTCCAACGAGAATTAAAAGTCTCAAGTTCCTCATTGATCAGTTCATCCATGACACCACCATCTGTTAGGGTCTGTGCCAATATGCGAATCTGATTCGGGTTATCCTCTGAATGTTGCATCAAATTCTCAAGAGACTGAAATACATTTGCAATAATTAATATTTTTCTTCTCTTTCCAAATATGTTTAATTAACAAAAAATGCTCAACATTTCTGATTTATATATAATTAAGCCAAAAGCATTTTAAAGTGAAATTTAATTGGGATAATCAAATAAGAAGGAACACTATTGCTTCAAAAAATAGTGTGTTGATCGATGATTTTTTATGGGGTTATGATAGCATTATGAACTGAACACTTAAAAATGATTTACCTTCATTAAGATATCTTTTACTCTAAATCCTGGAAAGATAAAATATTCACTTTCTTAACTTCTCTTATACATAGTGGTATGCAAATGACATCATTCTAAAAATATATGTAGGTAGAAGCTCAAGAATAGAGTTCCTCTCCTCAAATTAAAAAGGAAGGAAGGAAGGAAGGATGGAAGGAAGGGAGGAAGGAAGGGAGAAAGAGAAAGAGAGAAGGGAGGGAAGGAGGGAGGGAGGGAAGGAAGGAAGGAAGGAAGGAAGGAAGGAAGGAAGGAAGGAAGGAAGGAAGGAAGGAAGGAAGGAAAAGAAAGAACATTATCTCAAGAAATCCCTGCCAGGAGCCATGGCAAATGACTGCTTAGGAAGTTGATGCTGGAAGACTTAAGTTCAAGATTTCTCGAAATAAAAAAATAAATGTTTGAGGTTGTGGTCTAGTGGTAGAGTGATTGCTGCTGGATTTAATCTGTAATATTTAAGGAAAGAAAAGACAGGATTGGAGGAGAGAAGAAAGAGGAAGAAAAATAAATCCTTTTGCTTTTCACATGTTTTCATACATACACACACAGCCTGTAGGTAAAGTAGCCACCTGCTGAGGAGCAGATAAAAATGATATGGTTCCTCATGCTGAGTAAGGGATCATAAAAGAAAGAGCACCTGGGTGCCTCATCATATGGTTGAACCATTATCATCTCTGTATAACTTCCCTCTAGTTAATCTTTTTGTGAAGAAAAAAAAATGTTTGAGCTTTAGCCATTGCCTTATTTTCTGTTATTTACAGCTGCCCACCAATAATGAACTGACATACTATTTAAAACCAAAAAAGTTGTCTGGCTAGTGCCAACTTTAGGTGTATGAGAAAACAATAGATTCAATATTGTCTTACTAAGTGTCAAAAGTATTTATAAAATAAAGGATGGACATGTTTTCATCAATTCATTCAATGCTATTTTTTGCTTATGCTAAAAAATTGAAATGTTCTAATACATATTTGTAACTTCTATATTTTTCTCAAATTCTGAGGAATCTCAACATATTTTCCTGATAAATTTAAGGAAATGTAAATAATAGAGACTTTCTGAATGATTTTGTAAAAAATATAACTATGACTTCCAAAACACTTAACAAGACATATTTTTAGTATAAAAAATGTTTTTATCAGTAATTTTCTTTGTAATTTAAACATTTTATTACTTCTAACACTCATTAACTTTGCAGATATTTATTTTCATAGACACATTTCTTCTTCTATGTCCTAATGAAATCCATAGGCTGTTAATTTAAAACGGGAACTACAAAAAATAAAGCAAAAATAAGGAATCAATTATAGAATTCTTAAGGATTAAGGAAATTTAGAAGTCATACAGTTTATTTTTGTTGGGGGGGAGTCCAGGGATTGAACCCAGGGACACTTAATCACTGAGCCATATCCCTAGTCCTATTTTATATTTTATTTAGAGACAGGGTCTCATTGAGTTGATTAGCACCTCTTTTGCTGAGGCTGGCTTTGAACTCATGATCCTCCTGCCTCAGCCCCCCAAGCCACTGGGATTACAAGCATGTGCCACCATGCCTAGCCAAAAGTTCATACAGTTTTTGTATTCTTGACAATTGATAGTCTAGCCTGTGCTACTCAAAAATGTCTTCCTGAATTTTGAGCAGCAACACTGTCAGTCTACTTTAGCAAACAGAATTGTAAATAGTAATAATAAGCCTTTCCCCTACTTCCTTTTCTAAATATTCTCTGGTATTGCCTCAGGTTTTCTACCTTTTCTCATTATTCATTCCTTAACATGCCCTAGAGTTTTAGTACATCACTTAAGTTGGTTTCATCTTTTCTGGAAGATAAATCACATTGTTATTTCACAAGAAATGTTTGCCCCATGAATATCTTAGAATAGGACAGGGCCAAAATTATAGTCTACTTGTGACTGTCCTCATGGTTCTTGATACTTATTCAGGTCTTATAATTCTCTTGGGAAAAAAAAGGAAATTGGATAAAATTATCTGCCCTGATATTTAAGATTCTAATTCTAGTTTATCTAAAAAAGTATTTCACACTTTGTTCACATCTCAGATAATTTAGGTCTAATTTGTAGACTTACACAGGGGCTACACTATTCATATAATTCTATAGGTATTACAAATGCTAAAATACATATTCATTACATGTAAATGATAAGCCAAAAGCATTGTAAAATGCATAGAGCATGAATGGTTAAATATTAGAAGCTAACACAACTCAAATTTTATCCTTGAAAACCTTTTGAAATTCACTTAATACAAATTTCCAAAGTAAAACTTGAAGATTTACTAAAATTTTTGAACATTTTAAAGGTATTCATAGTAATAATGCATGTCCATTTACTACCAGAAAACATATTCTCTAAGCTGTAAAAATTCCTAGAAATTAAATTTGAATATTTTAAAGTGTTGCTGCAATTCAATTCATGTAGATTTCAAAGTGGAATTTATGTCTCATACTGTCATACTTTAGGTCTACTCCAAAAAAGCATAATTGTACATTCACTGTCTTTAGAGGTCTGTAGTAGACTTAAGCAGATAAAATGTCTATATAGAATTCAGTGTTATAACACAAAGAAAGAGTACTTTGTAAAAATAATTTAGACCCTTTTTTGTAAACCTTGAGACTGGAAGGATCTTAGAGAGAGAAAAAAGTTATATCAACAGTATCACTGAGTGATACATAGAAACTACATTCTTCTACTTGTTTGATACCTGACCTCTTGCAATACTGCATACAAATTATCATCCTCTTTCAATACTGCATATAAATTATCATCATGTATTACTTTACAACTTACTTCTAGCACCTCAGAGAGTTCCTCAGCTCCACCAGGAACATTTTCAGTAGTTTTAAGTTTTGATTCTACTTCATTTAGCCACTTGTTTGCCTTCTCCAAGTATGACAATAACTCATGCCAACATGCCCAAACTTCCTAAGAAAGAAACACATATCAGAGATAAAATAATTTGGTAGGAAAGTGAACATGAAGCTGTCATTCCATCATTGAAATTTCTCAAAGTATAACATTTACTTTATATATTTCACCTTCCCTTTGCAGTAATAATTTAAAGTACAAGTAGTTACTCTGAACATCTAAAGTCTCTGTAATTATAAGTCATTAAGGAAACATTTTATCACATGAATAAATTCAAGATCAAGAGATTTCCATTTTAAAATATTATATTCACCAACATTAAAGCCTGGGAATTAAAAAATTTAAAAAATATGTAAAAATGAATATGAAAGCCCCAATTTCTCAAACATCAATCATTATCATTGTTTTGATCTCTTCTAAACTTTATGGTCTATTGATCATTTGATATTTAAAATTAAAATACGGAATTAACTCTAGTTCTCATTTCACTATTATATCTTATTGTTTCATTTTAGCAGGAAGCCATGTTTTTAATGAAAATCTAAGACTTCATTTCAATGGTTATATCTTTGTTTCCATAACAATAGATATTTATTGGGTAGTTTGACTCTTTTAGTTTTGCTTACTTTTATAAATGTAGAGTGAATAGCTCATGAATATACATTTCTTTTTCATATTTTTGTTATTTCCTTGAGGTATATTATCACAAAATACAACTACTATTTTACAGGTATAATTCCTGTGAAATGGGCCTTTGATAGATATTGTAAAACTGACTTGTATACATACTTAATCAGGAGAAGAAATTCATATTTCTAAAAGATATAGAAAAGGATCTTTCTGACTTGGGGGATATGGAAGGACATTTTAAATAAAACATTTTGTAAAAATGAGTATAAGAAAAGAGATATATACATTTGACTACATAAAAATTAATACCTTATAATCATCAGAAGATACCTCATAAAGAAATTGAAAATACAGCCTCAAATATAAAGAAAAACAACTGCAACTATTATAATGCACAAATAAAAATATTAAAAATACCAACAAATGATGTAGGATATTCTATCTCTGATTAAAAGATAAAGGGACATTAAGGGTTATAAGCGTACATATTTCTTTAAATACCTAAGGGTACCTTAGAACTTTGGAGCACACTGAGGTAATGAACAGAACAAAATAGATGGACATATCAAATCATAGTAACCTATATATCACAGGTTGCCATTTTATAATTATCAGAAAATCAAAAGAGAACAATATCAAGATTGCAAAGGAATGATATAGGCATATTTCTAGATTATGATTATATCTTTTGAGGAAAAGACAGACAGCTGAGAAAGAGAGAATGAATATTAAATTTAAATCAGTCATTTTCTAGTAGCTTTTGTAATGTAAATTTTGAGTAAACCTATAAATACTGTATTTATAGTAGCATAATCATCACCATTTGCTATCAGTGGGCTGGGACCACCAAAATACAAGCTTAGAAAGCAATTTTGATTTCAGGAAAAAAAATAAAACTCAGTTTTCCCATATCCATATTTCTCCTTTGTTCTTAGCTCTGACAAATGATGGAGGATATTCTATTTCTTCTGATGACAAATATCATTCTAAGAGGTCCTATAAGCCTCCCACTTTTCCTTATGTGCTTGGTATTTTATAAATACTTTAATCACAAATAGTATAATTAAGTATTTTGCTTTAAAAGGTGATAGAAATCTTAAATCTGGGTCATTTCCAGCTCTTGCTGGACTGCAGGCTGTCTTCCTTCTGGGCAAAGATCCCAGTGGGAAAATATAAATATCTCCTTAAATACCCAAGGGTACCTTAGAACTTTAAAGATAAGGGGATGCAATTGGTAATGTGTCTTATTAACTTTGGTGCAGACTGAGGTAATGAACTATCTTGCTGATTTAACCATCACGATGGATGGCCTCTTCTGTCCTCAGTGCATCTGAAGGATACAGCTGGAGAGGCTGAATGTACCAGCTTTACAGGTCACCTTTACAAAATAAAATATAGTCCCCAAACCAAACTTGGAGCTAAAAGCCACTTAGAATAACTGTTAAACTTAACAGTTTGGAACTTAAAATTACTTTGAAATCACAGAATTCTAAGTGGCCTTTAAGGAAAGTAGAAATTATAAAGCAAATTTCCTTTCAAAATAGTACATGGAGCTGATGTGGTAACAACCTCACACCCTATTTCAGTCATATTGAAATGCTGGGTTAAATATAAAGGAAACTTTTGAAATTCAAAGCTCATGTATAAAACTTGTTTCAGAAAAACTCAAGTGTCAGGAGAAAAGAAGTGTAAATAGTGGGAAACCAAGCTTAACATAATACTGGCTTATCAAAACAGGATACATTCCATAGAAGCTGGGGTATTTAACACTAACTTGGGATATGAAATGAGGCAATGGTCGCCTGCATGCCAGAGAGATGGAAAAGAATAAAGTAGTATGCTACTCATCTTGAATACAAGAACTAGAAAACCCCTACTCACTGTAAGAAATTAGCAAGGAGGCTGATAAATCTTTAGATTCTCAATAGGAAAATAAGGATCCTCCCATTAGAAAATGAAACTCAAACTTGTATCACACATGATGATAAAATCTCTAGGATCCTGGTAGAAATAAATAAAAGGACTAATAAAAAAACTTTCAACAATAGAAAACAAAAGATATTTCTAGTAGAAAAAATTATGTGAGCTCACAAACAAAAAAATATTGGACACATAAGAAAATTCATTGCCATTAGAGGAAGTCATAAGTTGTAATGAATTGTAATTTCTATATCTTATGATACAGAGATAATAGAACAATTTTAGACAATTTTACTATAAACATGTTAAGTCTGATCATATATGTGTCCAGTAGGATTTATTTCCTTGAGTTTGACAACTAGTTTTTATGCTTAAGGCATAAAAGGGATACGTTACCTACATTCTATTTGGGGAGTACATTAATAACTCATTTTTATAAACCCTGTTCCAAATAGAGCCTGAAGGAGAAGCTGTTCGAGAGGAGTGAAAAGAGGAAAGTCTGGGAAGTTATGCAATTCTTTCACATATTTTTGTGGAAATTAGTGACATTCATTTGTGTGTACATGTATGTGTGTGTTGCTGGTGATCAAATCCATGGCCTTCTGCATGCTAGGCAAGTGCTCTACCATGAAGCTATACCAACTCAAACTCATGTAGATCCCTTTTCTTTTACAGGATCTAAAGGAGAATGACTCATCTAGTGGGTGGGTATATTTAAGTATGAGTAACTGATACTAATTTTCCTCTTAAGATATTGGTATGACCAAAAAGGAATCAAAGGAAAACACTTTCAAGCTTTTCAATTTCTGGGAGGAATGGGAAATGGGTTCTTCCAGTGCCCACAGGTTTTAGTTGAGGCATGGTGGGTAAATAAGGCTTTAGGGGATCACTAAAGCATTGTTCCAAAAGATGCAAACTTCATCATGTATGTAAACAAGACACTAATTTTTAAAACATGTAAATAAATAGAAATATCAGAAAAAAAGAGAAAAGAGAACAGTCGGAGGGAAATGGGGAAAGATAAGTGTAATTGAAGCAAACTGTACTCCATGCATTTATAATTATGTCAAAATAAATCCTACTGCTATGTGTGAAATAAAAATAAAAAGAGTAAACTACTTGTGTGTATCCCCCAAATAAAGAAATACTGATATATCACAACTCACATAAAACTATATATAAAAATGTAGAAGTGAGGGGCTGGGGTTGTGGCTCAAGCGGTAGCACGCTCGCCTGGCATGCGTGCGGCCCGGGTTCACTCCTCAGCACCACATACCAACAAAGATGTTGTGTCCGCCGAAAACTAAAAAATAAATATTAAAAATTCTCTCTCTCTCTCTCTCTCAAAAAAAAATGTAGAAGTGGACAGATTTGCATTAGAACAAATAATAAAATCCATGAGTCTTTTTCTTGAAAAAGACACACAATCTTCAAAGTGTAGGTGGTATAGGTTATAGGCAAGAGTTGGCCTGGAATTTTTGTCAAATATTACAATGAATCATGAGTGCCTAAGAGAGCCCTTTTAGGGTTCAAAGTCCATATGAATAAAGCCAACCCAGATTCCTAGCAGATTCCACAGAGTCCTAGAAAAGAGAGAGTGGTAATAATATATAGAAAGAGGACAAGAGACTGATCACAGATGTATGTGAGCATTAACAAAAGGAAAGAACAATTGTGACCAGATAAGAAAAGAATATTCATGAACATGGTGAAGGTGCTCCCCCTCCCACTGTCTTGACAAGGTCACTGTAAGGAAAAGTGCTGGCAAAGCTGTGCTGATGGGAAACTGAAACCATGAGACCCTTTTTTATGTAATTGGGACTTTTCATTTTTATGCTCATGTTCCTGACAGGAGGCATGAGTATGTTTAATGCCAAACCAAATTAAATTTTAGATGGCTAGAACATAACAGGTAGTTCATGCCTTGAAGGATGTTCTAGTACCCCTCAGCATATCAAGGACAAAATAAGAAGGATGCTTTTCTATCTCAGCACATTGAGGACAAAACTGATAATGGACAACAATCATTCTCAAAAAGGTCATGAGAATTTTAGGTACCACATTGATTATATCAACTAAAAACCCAAGCCCATATTTCTGGCCTCTTAGAAAGCCTAGTCATTATGCTTATTGCACAAAGCCCACCATATGTAGTTTTATTTGATTAAGGTAAAGTTATGTTATATACTTAGGAAAGTTAAGGCATATAAAGATACATTCTCCTCTTTTCTATAAATCCTCTTTTACTTCATATAGGGACTTATGATGGGCATAGTTAATATTGGCAGTATGTGAACTAATGTGCAGAACTTGCCTTTCAGTGAGATTACAAAAATATAAGAAATAGCGCACCTTGACTAAGAAACAAAGAAACTCTTTGAGAAAGTTTTATGAGAATTAATGTAGGAATTAATTAAAGTAGTTTTATAAGACATACTTTTAGAATAATGTTAGAAATATTATTTTATTTAGATTCTTGGGTTTAGAATTCTTAAATTTTAGCTGTATGAGTTCCTAATATGCTTTAAGAATAGTTTATAGACTTTAGAATATTTTAAGTATAAGATTTAAGGGGACTTCTTTAGATGGAAATTTTAGATTAGAAATAAAATAAAGGTGTACTTTAAATTTAAAGGTTAATGATAGGGTAGGAGACTTAGAGTCTGGTTATGTAGTTTGGCATCTGTTAATAAGGAAATAGTATATCTTGGGGAAAATAGTACATCTTGGGAAAATCTGAAAAAATGTAAATTAGTGACATATTTTATTAATGATTTTGTAGCCATAATAATTCATAAGTAAATGTCACATCCTGGAAAAATGTAAATTGATGTCACATTTTTCTATACCCCTAGTGATTGTTAAGGAAATGTCACATCATGACAAAATTTGGAAGTTGTATAATCAATGACTTATTCTGAATCCATAATGATGAGAAAAAATGCAGTAAAAGATGACCCAGAGAAAGCTGCATTAGAGCTCATTCTCTAGAGATTGCTCCAATGGAATGACGCCTGTCCCATTCTTTGCGCTGACGCCACTCATCCTTCAGGACCCCTGGACCCCGCTAGGGCAGGACCTCAGCATGAACAGAGTATTTCTGCCTCTTTACTCTCCCTTACACCAACACTAAAAGATCAGTATCCAGAAACCGGATGAAAGGAGGGCACTGTCAGATCCCTTTTTCTTACTTGCACTTCTATAAAAATGTGCAAAGCTGTAAGATCAAACTATACTGGTGTCAGAATTGTATACAGCATAAGAAATTTAAATTAGAGTAAATTTCAATAACTAAGAGTGAATACAAAGTTACAGAGTCACACTCAAGTATTATTTAAGAAGCCAACTACTAGTCATAAAGTGGAGTACTACATGGTTGGTTTGGCTACTGGAAAATTTAAACAATTTTGTGCTTATTATTAAGTCAATACTTATCAGATTATATATTTATAAAATGTTTAAAGGAAGAAATGCAATTTATTACAAAAATCAAGATATCTTGAAAATAACAGGCAGATTTTCAAATTAAATCTTGAAATATGAAAAATATGGTCTTTGAGAAAATATACTTATAGATCTATAAGTATACTTAGAGATATATAGGTAAATGTATACACAGAGATGAGTAGATTTATCTACTGAAGAATAAAATAAATTATGCTATAGGGAGTTGAAAAAAGAATTTAGAACTGAAAGATTTCAAAAAAATTACACAGAATCAGACACACAGAAATAAGAATACACAAATTTGTAAAGAGAAATCAAGAATTAGAATATAGGGTGAGGCTATTCTTCACAGATCAAATAAAGGTTCCCTTAGGAAGGAATGGAGTGACTGGAAAAAAGACAAATCTTCATAAAGATAATGAAGAACTGATAAAAAAAGAAATAATTTATCTATTCTTATAAGCATACCAAGTGACAAAATACAAATGAATGCAAATGTACACATAGACAAAATAGAGACAAACTGCAGAGCTTGGAAAACAAAGGGAAATTTAAATAGTACCAGAAAAAAATTATAAGAAACAATAATTTGACAGCAGACTTCTTAATAAAAGAAATTTCAGAAGATGAAGAAATAATATTTTAAGTGTTGCAAAAAATAACTGTCCTGACATAATTATATGCTCAAGTAGGCTATTATCTGATGCTGAGGGCAAAACAAAGGCATTTTCAATCATGCAAAATAAAAGAGTATTTGCTACTCACATTGAAGGAAAGAGAAAGAAGGAAACTGAATTCAGAAGAAAAGATGAAAAGCAAAATTAATCGCAGAAACTAGTAAAATAATATTGGTAAATCTAAATTATTATTGTATAAAATAAAAATTACAATAGAAACAGCAATAACTAACTAATTTGGGAAGAATAAGAAGGTGTAAATGAAGTTCTAAGCATGTGTGTGTGTGTATACATGTACATATGTATATATCTATATATATGTATATTATAAAAGATGGGAGACACAAATTCAAAATTAAATGATGCTAATGTTTATGCCATGTTTTTGTTGAAGAGGTGTATAGACCTATATTTGTTATTGCTGAACTTCACTGATTAAGGTATACATGATTACACATAAGGTTGTTGATAAGATAAAGTATATGTGTAAAATCAGTGGACAAGAAATAAAGGCCTAAATAACTAGTTAAGTAAAATACAAATAAGAAAGTATAGAAGCATCACCTCAGATAAAATAGAAAAATTAATAAAACTTTTTGAAAATTTTGTTAAGATAAAAATAAAAGTTCCCTTTTGAAAATGTACCTAAAATAAATTTTGAATGAACAAAAGATTAAATGAGTACAAGGAATTAAAAGATAATGCTGATGTAAAGAATTAAGAACATAATAATATTTAAGTGTTTTACTTATTGTCAGATAACAATTTCCTGGATACAAGAAGTTCCTCCCTTATGTAGCTTTGTAGTGAATTAGTTTTTACTTTGAGATTTTTACAGTGGCCATTACCTCCCTTCCCATTGTTTATTTTCTCTAGCATTCACATACCACTAATAAAAAAGATGTGTGTATGTCCTCAGCAAATATAACAGGTTCTGGCATAGAGAATGCTCTTGTCCTGTGTCTGAGAAGTAAACTGGATTTGAAAAAAAAGAGGGCTGGTAGACAAAGAAGAGATTGAAATTTATGATGGAGAAAGCCAAAGATTTCATTAGAAAGTTATAATATTGTATGTATCTAGGGCACTTCAGGTGAAAGTTATATTTTTAAATATTTTTAAGCTCTACTCTAGGTCTGTATTTTATCTGTCTTTAAATATCAAACACTTTAACATATAACAATAACTAAGAATGATATCTCTTAGTATTAATGAGACACCTGAATTATTTTTCAGCTATATTCACAAAGACAATCCTCTGTTGTGGAAGAGGACTTAAAGCCACGTCCAATTTATATGCAGTGTCTGGCATTATGGGCATTTGGAATAGGTAAAGTTTTGCACTCCTTAGCATAGTATTTGAAAAAGTAGCACCATAGCTTATTTTTTATATATAATTACATGGTAATCATTTGAGGCAGTTGAACTCATCTCTATATTCAGATAAGCACAGTCTAGAGAATAAGGCATGTGGGAAAGAGAAAACAGAGCTTGTGATAATGAATAGATATAATGTAAAGTGTCAAACAAAGAGCTAGTTAGGAAACATGTCTTGTAAAGAACTCCACAGGGCCCAGCAATTATTATAGATAATTAAAATAACATACACATCTCCAAAAAATACTTTCCCACTAAGATACTTAAATAAGTTTATACACATTCAAATACATGAAAAAAAAAACTTTCTAAAAATCTAAAAATAACTTATTTTAAGAATTTCTATTACCTAATATTCATAATAGTAAAAAATAAAGAATAGAATAATACTTGCTTCTGTTTATTGAGTACTAGTGTACGAATTCATTTAATTTTCTCAACTACTCTGTGAAGTAGGTATTATTTTTCTATTTAACAAAGTGGAAACAGTATTGTGCAAGTTAAACAACTGACCCAAAGTCATCGAACTTGAAAGTGCTTCAGTGAGGAATTCAAACCTGTTATGGTTTGCATATTAGGTGATTCCCAAAGGCTTACGTGTGAGACAACACAAAAATTCTTAGAGGGAAATGATATGGTTATGAGAGCTTTAACCTAATCACTACATTAATCTGTGGGTAAGAATTAAATGGGTAGTAAATGTAGGCATATAGGGAGTGGCTGGAGGAGGTAGGTTACTGGGGGTGCATGTTTCAGGTTGTATTTTGTCCACGATGAGTGGAGTTCCCTGCTTCCTGATTGCAAAGTCCTGAGCAGTTTTCCTCTGCCATGCCCTTCCACCATGATGTGCTTCACTTCAGAACCTGAGCTATGGAGTTGGTCATCTGTCAACTGAGACCTCTGAAACTGTGAGCTCCAAATAAACTTTCCCTTCTCTATGTTGCTCTTGTCAGGTCTTTTGGTCACAATGATGAAAAGCTGACTTTAAAAAAGCCTAAGTAGTTTTATAACAGAACTCATGTTAATCAGTTTGCTTCACAGATGGCCACATTTTGATATAAAATTGATAAGGAACAAGAAAAGCAACTGACTTCCAAAGTCTTGCATTTCCCATTGAGCCTGGTGCACAGCCACTGATAGTTGGTGGTAAGAGTGTCAAGTTCCTTTTTTAAGGCCTCTTGTGCTGCAGGTGGAGCTTGAGCTATGACACTATTTACGGTTTCGGTAAGGAGTTTCACTTTCATTTCCTTTTGCTGAGCCTCTTCTTTAGCTCTCTGAAAAACAAAGAAAATTTTCAATTCCAAAATGCATTCCTTTGTATCATATAATTTTTTAAAAATAATATCCCTGTTAGGATGAGATTCATAAAAGTAAATCTAGTATTGACTTTGATTACTTCCATACATTTAGATTTAAGTGTAATTGAAAACTTGAAGGAAAGATTACAATTGGAATATAACAGGTCTTTCATAGGAATAGTTTGAAAAGTATTCTGTACAAGGGTATGTATTGTGACTAGTTATGTATACATCTATATTCATATACAAGAACCAAATATTTCAATATTAGCTAAGTTAAAGATACTTAGAAATGTATAATTGAAATCAGATCTAAACCAGGACATTTGAATAATATTAAAATTAGTAGAAATATCATTATTTAAGTCAAAAGATAATTAACACATAAAAGCCATCTTAATGCCATCTCTGGGACCATATATTGATGAAAGCTCTGTTTGGCAACTGAAAATACATGAGAGATAATAAAAAGATAAAAGCAGCCTCTGACATCAGGACCTGACTTAGCATTCACAGCTATGCCTTGATCTTCTCCTTTGGAAGATAAACTGTTCCATAGTTCATTGGACAAGACCACTTTGTTACTAAGGTAGATGGAGACAACAGCAGGATTTTCTATAATCAAGTCTGAATGCAGACCAAAACATCAGTATTGGCCAAACCACAAAATAGCAATCATTTCCCTGTCTTCGTTAATATGAGTGACAGTTGCTTCTTTATCAATTACAACTTCAGCCTCACTAATTTTCCTTCCTTCTAGACAAGATAAAATACCCAATAGTGTGGTTACCTACACTCATTAGCAAGCAATCTAAAGCAAAGCCCTTAATCCATGCTTCAAATAACCTAACAAGAGCCAATATCCTACTAAGGTTCTTACTTGTTCATAGACTCCATGGTTCCCCTTTGTGCATAAGTTTCCTCATTGTAAAAAGGAATAAACACAATTTTTTGAATTAATAAAGAGATATGTTGGTGGTCTTGAGCTATAGGACATATATTTTTTTCTTAACATCCAATGTGTGTGTATATTTTAGAAACACACACAGTTTGGGTTCCTCCAGAGGCCAACTATGACAGGACCTTTCAAATACAGTTGATGAGCATGTACTAAGTGACAAATACTGGTAGCACAATGAGGAATGTTGATAGAAAAGGGAATAAAGAATATAAGGACATAGTTATTAATCCCAGGAACTATTGTCAGTGACTGAAGTTTAGTCCTATTGGAAATCTATGGGAAACAACTCTGAGGGTCATCCCATTTGGAATTGAGGGAAGGAAAGCATTATATATACATCAATCCATCATTGTTTGAAGGCTGTTGGGAAATGTTTAGGTTCCTAATACTTAAAAGTTGTCACAAAGATGAGAAAGTGGAATTTAGTGGCCAAAAAAAAAGCCCTCAGGTTAAAAAAAATATCACGTTTTAACAGGTGGAAGGGTCTGCATATAACATATTGGTGAGAATTTAGGTATAAGGACATAAATTGAGCTATAAAATGCCTTTATATTTTTAAATATAATCAACCTATCCTTTGGATTTAGTTCCACAGTATGCAGTACAATGGCAAATGCAAGTTGTTGTGACTATAAAACATTAGCCTCTATGGTTTCTAATTAATTGAAACTTTTAGTTCAATATTCTAAATAAATCAGTTTTTCTGCATCACTGAACATGGAGTGTGTTTCTATACACACCATATTTTGACTTTAATAATTATAGCATGATCAATAATTTTGACAACTATTAATCACTCAACATGTGCTATTATCTGCTATGCCATCTATGCCACACTGCTACCTTATTGGATCTTTAACAAAACCTTCAGACATGTGTTTTGTTATATCTGCACTGAACATCAGAAAACAGATTCAGAATTTAAAGATTCTGGATGTTACATTTTTCTCATAGTTTGTTATGTCAGTTTCAAATTCTCATTGAGATGAGAAAGACTCTTATTGTTTTGGATGCAACGAATGCAATTACAAATTATACAAGTTAAAAACAACCCATGCACCTATCTAGAAATGCAGAACATGGAAAACACCTTTCTTCAATCTTTAATCCTTCCTATATTCTTTTGTGAAATTGGCTTAGATGTTGGGATAGTTTCAGAAAAGAGAAAGAGTAAAATTTATTTTCCTAGGTCAACATGAGAAAAAGATTGTGATGGCTTTCTTTACTGTGCAAATGGCACAAAAGCTAAATGACCAGTATAATTTAGACATAATCTTCATAAAAATATTGTCTCGTGCACCCTTTCTTTCCATGTATCTATCCATAATATACTAGCACTTGGGTCATGAACAGTATCTTTAACCAGATGTTCAGGAAGTATGGTTCCTTAGAACCACTTTGGAACTTGTTCCTTAGAATCACCTGGAAACTTAGTAGAAATGAAAAATCTCAGGCATTACCCCACATTCACTGAATCCCAAATCTACAGGGAGAAGCCAAAAGTCTATTCAAATAGTCCTCTAGGTTATTCTGATATTCATTTATGTGCAGGGATCCTGCTCTAGTGATTGAAGAAACATGTATATTTACTATGTTTATGATATGTATAGTTTTTTCCTAATCTTTAGTAGTAAAATTAGAATAGCAAAAAATCAAATAAAAATAATAACATTTAAAATGAAATTTAAGGGCTGGGGATGTGGCTCAAGCGGTAGCGCGCTCGCCTGGCATGCGTGCGGCCCGGGTTCCATCCTCAGCACCACATACCAACAAAGATGTTGTGTCCACCAAATACTAAAAAAATATAAATATTAAAAATATTCTCTCTCTCTCCCTCTCTCTCACTCTCTCTTTAAAAAAAAAGAAATTTAAGATTTTTAACAAGGTTTTATTTTATAGCTTTTGCATATAGTCATTGCTGATCTCCAGAAGAGTTTTGGAGTCAGATGTTTCTTATCAAACACTCCCCTCAGTTCCTTTATGTAAACAGAAATTTTTTTCTTTATGGGGGGAAATAAGTTACCAAAATATCACTAGCATTTCCCAGTAAAACATAAGGAAGAAAATAAAGAAACAAAAGTTTACTACTTTTTCTCTGAATAAATCAGGGAGAGATTTCAAAGTATATCTGTTAGCAACTTCTGAAAATAAAGATAAATTTGCTCACAAAATGAACACAGGTGTTTAGTTTTTTTTTTTAGAGAGAAAATTTTTCAATATTTATTTTTCAGTTTTTGATGGACACAACATCGTTATTTTGTTTTATTTTGTGGTGCTGAGGATTGAACCCTGCGCCCTGTGCATGCCAGGGGAGCACGTTACCGCTTGAGCCTCATCACATCCCCAGTCCCCATGAAATGTTTTTATAGTTGTTTTTTTCCCCCATAATTCAGATCTCTTGGATTAAATAGTGTTTTCCACAAATGTACTACAAGTCAAACTTTTAACATCTCACCATTTCCCAACTTCCTCCTAAACACGAATTATTCTCTATTCTACAAACCTGGTTTGTGTTTTAGGCAAATTGCCATGACCCCAAAGAGTTTTATTTGTTCCTAAATTCATTGTTAGTTCCCTATCCATCCACAATAGAATGTAAATTTAAAGAAAGCAGACTGTGGTCTTACTTACCACTTTACTCAGTAGCTAGAAGGATATTTGGCATATAATAGGTGTGCAATAAGTATTTGTTGATGAATGAATGATATATGGTATTACTAGATTAGAATATTTCATAGGTTGTAATGCTCTATAATATCCAAATTCAATCTTTCTTACAGGTTTTAATTATACGTTCTGCATTTAACTCATTCCATATTTGCTTAAACATTTGATTTTTCATGTGAGTGCTTTCTGCTATTAACTATAAGAAATATATCTGACTGATCATATATTTTATAAAGTACACTTAATTTCTTAGTATGCAGCAATGATAATAACTACAACAATAGCTATCAAATTTGAAAAATTTGCTTTGCACCTGGCTGAGTATTTGGGACTTCTATGTTTCATGCTTTAAACAGTTCTAGAAGCGAGGTGTTCTAGTACTAAATTCACAAATGAGGGAGTTGGAGCTCACAAAGCTTATGTAACTCACCCAAGGTTATGCACCTGGCAAGGAACCAAACCAGGTTTTGAAACTGAGGGTCTGGTTCCACATTAATTTTGCTCTGTCATGAGGCCTCAAACCAAATAAGCACCTATTAATATTTCACATAGAAAATTTCTATCAGCGTATGCATTCTTATTAGTACATAAAAATAGTTGCTGTCTTTACAGCTACAGGTCATTGAGTACTCACACTGACCTAGGCAACTTACTTAAATCTAAGTATTAGCATTCAGTACATACAGTCAAGTTAGGAAGAACAACAATATAAACAGCATAAAATAGAAGACTGTATTGATACTGAGTTTCCCAAAGCCACACTGAAATGCCACTTTATATATTCAACTTGAGGTTTTACTTCTAAGACTGTGGTATATACAGGTTCTCCTGGTCCTAAATCAAAGTTACTATATTTTTGTTGTATGGTTTCAAAATATATGCATGTAAACTCAGTTCTTTTTATCCATATTAAAAGCTACCTGTTAAAATACTTAAAACTCCCAAATTCAAAGAAATCCCTTAAGCTACCAAATTAACAAAGCATTTAAATATATTTTATATTGTCTATTCTAGAACACTTTGTCATAGTTTCAACTTGAATTTGCAACAGCTAAAAACAGTTAATGTGATCAGCTGATTCTAATCCTCAACACTATATCATTTCAAAAGAATGAAGTTTTAAACTGGGATTGTCAATGTTGACATTTTGACCACAATGCACTAAATTAATAAATATTTTAAGACTTTAATAGAAAATATAACAAAATTTAAAGCAAAATTGATTAAAATTAATTAAAAATAAATCTCTAGTATTAAACCCAGAAGACAGTAGATTGTCATAAGCACAATTTTAAGCAATGTTGCATTCCTTTCCATTATTTCTTTGGTTTATTTGATTTATTTTACCTTCATCTCTTCAACTGCTCTCTGTAATTCATCTGGAGTTTTATATTCAAAATCTCTCTCTAGGTATTCTTCTTCAGCTTGAGTCATCCATTCATGCATTTCTGATAGATCTTTCTGGAGACTTACAGTTTTATCCAAACCTCCTTTTAAGGCTTCTTTTCTGGCATAGACCTTCCATAAAATAAACAAACAAGAAAAGCATAAATACTGACAGTGCCAAGACATTAGCATTACCATGCTATTGAATAATGTGTAAATAACTAAGATTTGATAGTAAAGATGAAATGAAAGGATTATATCCATAAGAAAAGTAACTCATGGGGATCATGTTTAATCTCACATAAGTGTGAAAATACAATATAGCCATTTACTTGGAATAGATAATAAAATGACCAGTTTGCCCTAATTACAATAAGTTAGCTTTTGTCTTTGACAATTCTTTTCTTTCTGTGAGTAGAAAAAATAATTGTTGTAAAATAATTTTATTGGCATATGTAGAACTAATTGATCATTCTTTCAGTTTTGTGATGATGCTTTTATGATTTTAAATATCTTAGGTAATGAAAAAATGAAACAACTACAGAAAATTCTCATAAAACAAAGCAAAAAATGAAAATGTATAAGATAAACAGATAATTCACAGAAAAAATTATGTCTGTATAAAAGATGTTCCAATACTATTTATATGTAAGTAATCACAAGTGAAAATTAATTATTGTATTTTCTTTTTAAAATATTTATTTTTAGTTGTAGTTGGTCACAATATCTTTATTTTATTTATTTATTAATTATTTTTATGTGGTATTGAGGATCGAACCCAGGGCCCTGCATGTGTTAGATCAGTGCTCTACAGCTGAGCCACAACCCCAGCCCTAATTATTGTTTTTTCATAAGTAAAATAGTATGGCAAAAAAATTAATGAAGATGCTCAGTTTGGCATGGGTGTAGGGATATAAAAGTTTTCATACTGTTTAGGGAAATACATAACCTTTCATAGCAAGCTGATAAAATATATTTAAAATATTAATGTTCTTGAACCAAAGTCTACTCTGGGCCTTTTAAGAGTAAATCATATCAAAGTGTACCGAGTTGCATGTACATTGTTTAATTCAGCCATGAAGAAAGCAGCATGTTGGGGATAAATCCAAATTTGCTTTCATGTGGGATTAATTAAACATACAAACCATGGGATATCACATATCATCAATTTGTGTACTGAAATAAAATGTAAGACCATATATTTTTAAGTTTAAATAGCAAGCTGCCAAACAATATGTGAGGTCATATGGAACATCTGCTTTTTAAACCCTCATAATTTTTGGAAATATTAAGAATGTTTACCATGGAATTTATTACTCAATAACTAAAAAACAGCAAAACATAAAACATCTAAAACAAAATCATATACACAAATATCTTGTTTCAAAGTACTGAGTAGTATTATAGTAATTATATATAGTGTTTCCCTCTGAAATGTAACTATACTCAAAATAATTCTTTTATCTGGGATTAAACAAGGTTTGATATTTTAACTAACAGAGTTCTAATAGTAAAGTTTTAATATATACTGCATAATTTTAATAAAATAAAAATTTCATGGTACTTTACTCAATACTAAATATGTGTAGAAATGCCACCATGTTTATTTCCCTTACATTTCATAACCCAACCATGTTGAATTTGATCAATGTTTCACTTTTGCTTTCCTTTTCTAGATGAATATAGAAAATAATTTATTGAAATATGAATAACTGTTCCAGTCTGACACATCAAGAACAATATGTCTAATCATTATTCTAGTAAAGGTATAAATACTATTTTGCACATTTAATAAACCTATAGTAAGCCTAAATAAACAGGTTGTTAAATTTCTATGTAGACAATCTACTCTACTATAATCATTTGAAGTAGTTGGAGAAGCTACAAAAATATTGGAGAGACTAATGAAACTTAGTCCAAACTTGTAGTAAATATATAGATATAGATATAGATATAGATATAGATATATGGCATGCTATAAAACTAAACTAGAGGAAAGGGATCAGAAGTATTTTTTTTCCTTAAGAAAAAAGGTTATAAGGCCATTTTGAGATGATAGTACAAGTGTATTGGGAAGAACATTGACTTAGGAATCAGACTCCTAGAGTCAATGCTAAGCAATCTAACATCATTTCTCTGTAGTTCAGATTTATAACTAGACAATTTCCAAGGTCTTTTTCCAATTTGATCTACTACAGCTTTATGAATGTTTGGAAAGAGTAAGACATGCAATGTTTGCTTTCATATGTTAAAAAGAATTTCTGTGAAAAGATTTTGGTTAAAATTACAATTTTGCTTTATATCTTTAGTGACTCCAATATGCTTATTTCGAACTGTCCAATCTATCCAACAGTGTCAGCTGATTACAGCAAATTCTCGAAATAGATAAAACAGGAATTTCTTTCTGTTTCCTGTTATATACTTTATAAATCAAACATTTAGTACTACTCCCCACCACACTTTCTTTAATCTCCGATCTCAGAGCAAAAGATGACTTTGGTCTTGTCCAGGGTCAATGAGTCCTTTTCAGAGCTAATGCTCTGAGGTCTGTACTTCCCTGTATCTTTCCCTTATTTTCCTCTGTGTCTTTCCTGAATTTATATTTCTTCAACTCTTCTCTCTTGTTTCTTTTAGGCCACCATATTAATATGTTCACAGACTATCCTATGATTTAAGAAGTTAAATTAAGCAAACATCCATCTTATCATAATTTTATACAGTTCATAATTTTAAAGTGCATTCTCTCCTTTTTCTACTTAATGACCTCTAGAAAATTGCTTAAATATAATCTGTCTCTATCCTCACCAATCCACTGTAACTCTAAGAACATTAGGGTTTTCCTGATTCTTGATCTAATATATATCTCCCAAACCATCTCTTATCTTCTTTTACTTTTAAGAATTTGTTTCTTGTAGCATTTGAGTCTCATAATTATATTTGGCTCCTTGAAACCCCTACTTTCTTGACATTGCAGCTTTCTTGGCCAATTTTTGCACATATTTTCTTTTCTCAGTTATTCTGTTGGCCTTCTTTTACTTGCTGACATTTAAATATTTCCCAGAGTTCTGTGGCTGGTCCTCTTCTTGTATCATTCCAATCTCTATTTTTAAGGCCTTTTCTTATTCCATTTCTTTCTTACATTTAAAATAGTGTTTCAGATCACTTTTTTTCCCTACTGCCAACTGTGTATTTATATCTAAGTGAATTATATGCATCAGAACTCCATATGCCTATATTTTCTCCCAAATCTGTTCCTAGGATTATATCCTTGATCTACTTTCATAATACCAATTGTCAAACATTAATCAGCACAATACTAGTAACATATTATGCTTTAATTCTTTCTTTCAGATGCATTCCTAGGCCAATACACAGGCTTAAATTTTAGAGTACCTTGAAAAGTTATTGAGTAGAAGAGTGATATCTAACATATTTTGAAACCATCATTCTGGCTGCTATGCTGATAATAGCTCCGTGGGAAGGGGCAAAAAATGGCAACATGAGACTTGTTAGGAATCCTCTGCAATGGTCTAAAAAAGAATAATGAATTCATCTAGTGTAAGAGCAGAAGGATGCTGAGAAATTGCTGGAACTTGGGAATTGTATAGTTAGAACCAACAGCATTTGTTGATCCATTTTATGTTTGGGTGTGAGAAAAATATAGGAGACAAGAAGACCTTAAGGACTTTGACTTGGGTAGCTGAAAGGATAGGGATGCCAGAGCGACTACCCAGATAGCAGATTGTTGAGTATATCAGAAATTTCAGAGATTTTGTCTGGGTATGCTATATTTACTGTATACAGTAGGCATACAGCTTATATCTATTGTAATGCATGTCTATATTTTGGAGCTATTTTATATATATCATACACACACACACTCTAATATTTCATTCACATGTATGGATTGAGTGGGAAAATGAATATGCAGTCCTAAGATTCAGGAGAAATTTCCAGAATATAACAAAAATTGCGGAAGGTAGAATTTATGAATTATATTTGAAATAATGATGTTGTATGAGTTGACCTAGGCAATGATTGGAAACAGAGAAGTGTGAAGGCTGATCCATAGAATATGTCCACATTGAGTGGTCAGCACATTGTTCCAGTTTGCTCAGAACAACATATTCCCTCCTTGGGTAAATACTATTAGAATAGGAAAATATACATACCACAAAACAGAATAAACAGTAATGAGCAGAGCAATATGTATTCAAACCAGATCCATTTCTATGTAAGAATGAGGAAAAATGCTATGAGAAGTTTGGACATTAAATAAAACATAATGTCACAAGAGGGTCATATATTTCAAGTTTCTTCATGTCTCTCAATGTTCACTAATATTTCCATTTACTTTTCCAGTTTTATCTCAATCTGAACAACAGCAATTCATTCCTAACTGCTTCTACTAGAGCTCCTTCAATTTATTCTCTGTATAATGTGAATACATAGTAATTTTTAAATAATTACTTTAAATTATGTCACTATTATATCTAAATATCTTTGATAGCACCCAAATGCATTTGACATACAGACTAAATCATCAATGTGATTTTTGAATGAGCTCGTGACTCTTATTTTCCATCCATTTTTCTCTTTGAGCTGCTCTTTCCAATGGCTTTCTTTGATGGGTTCAAATATGCACACTACCAACTGAGCTATACTCTCAGCCCCTATATGCATTTAATTTAATAAATATATATAATAATGTAAATATATGAATAATTATAAATCTCCTTCCTTCTCTCTCCTTCCCTTTCTCCCTTTTTTCCTTCTCTTGAATGTTGTTGCTTAATTTATGAAATATTTTTGGGGGGTACTGGGGATTAAGCTCAGGGGTGCTTAACCAAAGAGCCACATCCCCAGCCCTATTTTGTATTTTATTTAGAGATAGGGTCTCACTGAGTTGCATAGTGCCTTGCTTTTGCTGAGGCTGGCTTTGAACTTGTGATCCTCCGGCCTCAGCCTCCATAGCCACTGGGATTACAGGTGTGTGGCACTGTGCCCTGCCCCAGCCCACACCATCCTCTTGCCACTCTGCTTGGCAATTTGTGAGATATTTCAGTAAAGGTTATTGTTTTATTTTATAAATAGCTAAAATCTTGATTTTTTTCATTTGGGTACATGATGTTTGGAATTTAAGTTAATTTTAACCATTTTATACCTCCAAAATTGCATGATGAGACCTCCAAATATCTTCAAGTATTTCAAATACTTGACAATTTTGTCTCTATTTGTGTTTTTCTGAACCTTGACATCTAATATTAGGTAACAAGTCATGTCTAACCCAAGAAAGAACATCATTATTGTTTATGTAGATATTTCTATGATACATAGGTTTATACTACTTTTCCATTCTTTTGTCTAGACCACTGAGGTGGTATCAACAACCAAGCCCAGCTTCACTTCTTTTACTTTTCTATCTTTCTCTTCACCTGAGTGGATAATTTCTTCCTTTTAAAACTAGATGATTTTTTTTCCACAGGGAGAGCATGGGTAGTATGATACTCCAAGGAGAAGCAGAAAGATGTAAAACCTTGTAGAATTGGGGAAAAAAAGTTCAGAACATGGCTGGGTTCTATAATATTTTTGTCATGCAGGGGCTGATGTGTTCAAAATACTTCTTTTGAACAAAAAATTTTCTAGTGTGCATTATAATAGATAAGTCTTAAGCCAAGATGTTTAAGATTTAAGGTGTTTTTAACATTATAGTTGTATAAATTGTAAAAATATTGAGATTTCTGTAACATCAGTGACCTTCATAAAATTTTTGCTGTTGTTTTTCCCTTTGCTCTAAATAAATTGGTGGTATTTTTTCAACTCATCCATTATGAACATTCCAAAAACAAAAACATTTCACACAGGTCTTCCAGGAAACTATCAATGGTACAATCCATTATTTAAGTGATGATTTTTTCATGAACAACCCTTATACCACTGACTTGCTATAGGAGAAGCATGCAAGTTAGTTGACCCAAGGTTATCTTATCTGTGAGTTAATAGAACTGTTAAAACGTCAGATGTGCAACTTGCCTTGACCATTGGTTTCCTAAATTCTTTTTCAAATTTAACTTTTACCTTTTGGCATTATTTCTTTTTAATTTTTAAAAATTACTTAGAAATAACCAAAGGCTGACTATCTCTAACACATATAAACAAAACTCTCATTAACTTCAAAAAAGTTATTAATGGCGAGGCATAGTGGCACATGCCTATAATCCCAGCAACTCAAGAAGCTGACAGGAGGATCACAATTTTAAGGCCAGCCTCAGCAAGTTAGCAAGGCCCTAAGTTTTAAAGTGTCAAAATACATTCTTATAGAATGTATAATGAATTAGAACAAAATTTTTAAAAGGGTGAAAAAACTAAGAAAAAATAAAAAGGGCTGGGGATGCAATTCAATGGTAACATGCCCTCAGGCTCAATCCCTAATATCAAAAACAAAATAAAACAAAAAGGCATTGATGAATGTTAAAGTAATCACTGCCTGGTGTAGGTCAAAACTTTATCTTTTGTACAAGAAATATTTGATATATACCACTAATAAATATAATAGTTTACTTTCCATAGTTTAATCTTTACATTTAAAATGAATATCTATAATATATATTGCTATATGAAAACAAGTAACTCAGATGTGAATCTAGTTTTTTTATTTTATTCATTATTATTCTTAATCATTTTTCAGTCTTAATTCATTGACTGAAATAAAGGTATTAAAGAAGCTAAACTTTGAAATCTTAACAATCAGAAGTAAAAATTATATACATTTGTGTATACAAATATTTAACTTTTTCAATTTATTTCTGTATCAAATATGGATATGTAGTCTATCTGTTGTTATACCAATTATTATTATACATTTATGCATAGGAGAAAAGACTAAATGAAAATAATTGCTATGAGTAACATCTCATTTTTCAGTGTCACAACTGAGTTCAAGAAGGTCAGTTTAAAACTAAAATAATAAAAAAATGTAATATTTAAAATATTTACTATGAAAATATTTCTGTACTCCAGAGAGGCTTATTCATTTGAATAAATTCTGCCTTAAAGCATGAACATAGCTAGAAAGAACACTTTATATGAAGATAATGGTAAAGGGAGACATTAAAAATTTTCAATTAATTAAATTGAGCCAAATCCAATGAAAGATACTGTCCATACCTGACGGCACATGTAATCCCACTGAGTGTTAAGTTCTTTGAGTTCAGTGTCAAGTCTGGATGCAAACTCTGGCTCGGCTTCATACTTTATCTTCTGCCCACCTTCATTGACACTGTTTAAACTGGGCTGGATCGTCTGAATATCATTGACTAAAAGCTAAGGAAATAATACTATTTAATCTAGCTGAAAAATATCACAATATGTTATAAATGCATCATAAATAGGAACTGTATAAGAATGATGACATTGCATATGAATTTTGTCCTTTAAAATATGAAATAGACAATTCAGTTGATATCTGCATATAGATCTTACAAAAATTTTTAGTGTTTTTATGGCATGAATGAAGTAGGGAATTATCTGTGTGCTGCTTATTTCAAAAACAAAGGGAATAAATTTAGTGTTTCTTGGTAGAAAAAATGTGTGAAAATGAAGGGCTTCATACATTACTACTTTTGAAAAGATTTTCATTTTCAAACACAGGATATTACAGTAATTGTTTATAGCATGACGGGTGTGAAGGTTATTTGTAACCCAGATTTACTTTTTTAGCTTTTTTTCCAAAGCAAGTTCTTTAAAAAGCTATATTATTGTCTTCTTGCTGTATCACAATGGTATAATGAATATCATTTCATAAAACCATGTTGTGCAATATAACATAGTGCACTATACATGGAAGGAGTAATGGTATGAATAATAATCTGTAATAAGATATAAGAAGTAGTCAAAGGTTTCTTTAAATTATCTGCCTATTTATATTATTTTATAAAGTTAGGTTTACATAAAAGTCAATACTTTCTCATTTATTACACCAGTGATTTCTCAAAGTTGATACTCTTAATATTTTAATGTATTTTTTAGTTGTAGGTAGAAACAATACCTTTATTTTATTTTATTTTATTTTATTTTATTTTTATGTGGTGCCAGGAATTGAATCCAGTGCCTCACGCACGCTAGGCAAGCACTCTACCACTGAGCCACAACCCTGGCCCCCCGATAATATTGATATTCTAGTCTGTGTAATTATTTGTTGTGAAGGGACTGGTAGGATGTTTATCAGCTTCCATGGCCTCTCCTTATTAGATGCCAGCCTTAATATCATCCCTAGCATGTTGCAACAACCAAAACTTTCTCCTGATATTACTAAATGCCCTCTGAGTAAAAAATACTGATCTAATGAAATATTACCATATAAAAGTGTTCACATGAAAGGCATCATATAAAATCTTACTCTGCACTGTTTCAACTGTTTTTTTAGAATTTCTGAATCTCCAAGAGCAGGCCATTCCTCTTTCAGGAAAACATCAACTTCAGCCATCCATTTCTTCAGTGTTTTTATGTGATTCTGGAATAAGAGAACATTTTAAGGCATTACTGGGTGCTGATTACTTTTTACATAGTTCATCATGATGATATGTCTAAACACAAGCCCACAAACAACTCCCATGTTTGAAGGATGTCGCTAAGTAGCTCTTCAGGAAAAGAATATTTTTACTAAGACTGCATTTTTATGGTCTACTCTATGAGCACTGGTGTATGAAGTCTGCTATTGTTAAAAATAAAAAATTACTACCAAATGTGGTTTTATGATGTTCCTCTCGAGAACATTAAATCATATCCCCCTCTAGAGAAATTTTAAGTTACAAAACAACTCATGATAATACTAACAATGTGCCCTTACACTACATAAAACAAACTATGAACAATAAACTCAATGTAATAGTGTCTTTATAGCCTCCCTAAACCCGAACTTCCACAAATTGTTTTCTACAGTTGACACTTTAAAATAGTCCCTTCAGCTGGGAACTTTTAGACCAAGATTTTGTCAATTTTAAAGAATAAGTTTTTGCTTTTAATTTCTTATTTGCCTGACCAGTTTGAAACAATGATCAGGTGAAAAAAAATCTTATCTTTTGCTGCGTGCATTGGTGCATACCTGTCATCCCAGTGGCTCAGGAGGCTGAGGCAGGAGGATTGTGAGTTCAAAGCCAGACTCAACAACTTAGCAAGGCCATGTGTAAGTTAGTGAAACCCTGTCTCTAAATAAAAAGGGCTGGGGATGTGGCTCAGTGGTTTAGAGCCCCTGAACCCCATCCCTGGTACCAAAACCAAACCAAACCAAACAAAACAAAATCCATCTCATCTTTCATCATTCATAAATAGCCAACTACCTCCTAGTTTTCCTCCTTGTTGGACATTGTTTTTGATGCTTTTTTGGTTATTTTTCAAACATGTCTGTCACTTTGTTATTTCTATAGGATTAAACCACACTGTCTAGATGCACTATATTCTCTTAAATTTCTTTGAAAATATATGTTTCACAGAATGTTTGCCTTTTAATATAATTAGTAATATTATTAAAAACACTTGAATAAATCTAGAAGCTTCAACATTACCACCTTCCTCACATTTTCAAAGCTACTTGTGCCTCTTCCATATCTACACTGCTCTTTTTCCAGTCTTATTGACTTCTTCCTTACTGCATTATCACTTTTTGGTATCTGCCTGAGTCTTAGTGCACTGAAATCATTCCTGTACATTGATGACAGTAATCTCCTCTTCTCTTTTTCCTTTTCATGGTAATATGATTTTGGGGGAAGCAAAGGGTGGTACCAAAGATTGAACTCAGGGGCACTGGAACACTAAGCCACATTTCCAGCCCTATTTTGCATTTTATTTAGAGACAGGGTCTCACTGAGTTGCTTAGCACCTCACTTTTGCTGAGGCTGGCTTTGAACTCACAATCCTGCCTCAACCTCCCAAGTCACTGGGATTATAGGCATGCACCACCATGCCTGGCCATGGTAATGTTTTGAAAATAAAAATGTAATTACATCTTTCCCTCTTGAATATACTAGTAACTATCCTTTATTATTATTGCTGTTGTTGATGTTAATCCCATTACTACTTGTTTAAAATACATTTTCCAAAGAATGATATTCCAGAGCATTTTCTAATCATATATTTTATTAATATTTAAACATAATATCTCCAGTGAGTTGAACATACTAGTTCTTTTGAAGCTTTCTTCCTGTTTATTTGCTGACTAAAATTTTCCTGATCAAAGTATACTTAAGATAATATGTTCTCACTTGATTTGGACTTCTTTCCTGCCTATTCCTATAATGTTTAATGCACTACACCATAAGGCTTTGAAGATGGAGGATGAGGTCATGAACCAAAGAATGCATGCAGCTCCTGGCAAAAAAGAAATGTTTTTTTTTCATGTATGCTATATGTATGTATATATGTACACATATGTTTATAAATACATACATGTAAATATGCATATTGTGCTTATAGAATATTTTAGGACTGCATAGTACTTTAGATTGTAAATATTAAAAATAACTAAGCATTTGGACTGGAATTTAAATTCAGAAGCATCTTATTCCAGTGCTTTTCTATCATACCATGATGCTTTCAAAGTTTCTATTTGACATTAGTGTATTTCACAATTGATCAACCAAAAAGGACATTACCCATAGAATAGCTTGTATTTAAAATTATTAAGCTAACAATATGTCCAAGTCCTATTTGTATTGATAAAATAATTAATTCTAAAGAAAATCTAAGAACCAGAGCTATTAATTACATTTTTAGGTAAAATATACAAATTATACTCCATTGATAAAGGTTTGTGTGTTTGATCTTATTGATGTCTTCAAAGCTTTCTGGGGTTCCAATATCAATTTACCTTTAAATTTGACAATGCAGTATTGGGGAAAATAAGTAAATAAGTGAATGTAACAGTCAAAATTGGAGTTACCTGTATTTTTCGAAGTTTATTCATTTGCTCTTCTAGCTTTTGGCAATGTTCTACCAGCTGCGAGGAGAGTTTCTTCCAGCGTCCTTCAATCTCTTCAAATTCTGATTGGTATTTCTGACTAATTTCAGAGGGGGCTTTCTTTGAAATCTCTTTCACAGTGGTGCTGAGATAATTTAAGCCACTTTGTTGTTCTTGCAGAGAACTTTGCAAAGCCTCAAAATTGAAAATAAAAAATACATTTATACTAAATAATTAACATTGATAAGTTTCCAATAAATTAAGAAATTAAGCATACTTAAAATGAAATCTATGTGAGTAAATGTTCTAATATCAGTTATATCTACTGATAATTTAAATTCTTTATAGGAATAACTTAAACATTATATAGTGATATTTAACAATTCATGCCATTTTAAAAAACAATGTCAAACATGTCCAAATCTTTAGTTTATTTTACTGAACCAAAGAATTTTAGAACATTTAATTACATTGAACCAGGGGTATAAAATAACTACATTTATGATAGTTAATGGAGCTTAACTTAATTATACTAAACTCTTAGGAGGACTTATCTCTAGTCTTTTTTTAAAACTATACTAAATTATTTTGATATAAGGTAAAAATAATTGAATAAATTACCAGATTAGGGGCCTATTGATGCCAGTTAACTCAAGTTTCATATTTTTCAAAAGGTGATATTTTATTTAAGTACTGAATTGGAATTCTAAGATAATTTTGGGAAAATTTTATAAAATTTATTTTACATCTAACCTGCATAGGTTTCTCCTACTCAATGTTTTTTTAAATGTAACTTTGATTATAAAGCAATAAAGGCTCATGATTTAAGAATGAAAAAATATACAGAACCATTAGGGTTTTATATAAATTTTCCATTTTATTCATAACTAAATATTGACTCTCAACCATGTTATATGCACAATCATTCCTTCACTTATAATATGACCTATATCATGCAAAAAATTTGACAAATGTGTAACTTTTATAGTTTGATAATACCTTATGCCTATTTTGTGATACTTGATTTTTTTTAACATTACCTTTAACTTTGCTTATGTTTACTTTATTAAACTGGTATTCCATGAGTGACTTTTTAGACACTATCTGGCATATAACTATATTCTGAGTTAATCATTGTAAGTAAGCCATTTCCCATGTCACCAGGTATTTTTTTAAACATATGTTTTAGTAGTTTTAATTATTTCCATTAGATCTACAAATTCATTTCTACCTTTCCTCATCTGTAAATTATTTTTACATCTATCACCTATCTACTAATATTTTGAATATATTCTGGTTATTACTCTAAGATTTAGACTTTATGCAAATTATATACTCATATATATATTAATGAATATGTATTTTATTAGAAAATGTTGAAATTATTTCCTCCACAAAATAAAAATTATATTCCTAACAGTAAATGAAAATGTTTAGCTTATCACTTCCAGAAAAACAGTTAAGAGTTTTTGAGCATATGTGCCCAAATAGTATATGAAAAATGGTATCTCATTTTGTAAATTTGTATTTCATTCTTCACAATTCAAGTTATATTTTTTTCATAGATTTATTGGCCATTTCTGCCCACTTTTGTTGACAACAGACTTTCTTACTCATACAAAAATTATTTTCCTTGGACTTGTTTTTCTTTAAAATTGTCTCTGGTGTTTTTACAATGGCTGTTGTTGCATCCATTGATTTTTATGCATCCTCATTATGTTTACAAATCTGTATTTTTTAATTTCCAAAATATTTTCAACTCTGTATTTTATATGTTATTTCTGGTGTAACTTTTGAAGTAGGATCCTTACACTTTCCAAATACTATTTATAAATAATTATCTTTCACCTATTCCTTTTTTAGTGGAAATATTCTTTTGTACTTACCTACTCTGCATTTCCTGTGTAATTTTCTCTACTTCCCTATTGCTATGCGTTTCTAAGAATTCTTGAAAATTTATTAGTTCTATTAGGTCATAACTGTTTCTTTCAACTAAACTCTGGAATCATTATACCACATATTAAAAATAACAAAATATAACCATAAAAGATTAAACAGCTACATTTTGCTTGGTTTATAGTAAGTAGTTTAAACAGAACAATATATACTAGAAAAGACTTTTTAAAATTTCTTTAAAATTATTTCTTAGAAGAACTAATCATACAAATTTTAACTTATTTTTTCATAATCTCCAAATGTAAATATAATATTTAAGTTCCTGAATGTAAGTAATGAATGTTTTCACATCTTTAAAAAATTGAATATACAACTTAGGCTTTTTGAATTAATAGGAAAAGTATAGCAAATATCATATATTTTTTCATCTTTCATATTAGTATGTTTATCTTTCCAGATATATGGCTGTTAAAAATGGTTACTAGAACTCAAATAAAAAATTAAATATTATATTTGATGAGTATTTACATTCAAGTCAATTTTACAAATGTACTGATTTTACCCTTGTTTCTTTGAGAATTGAGAAATATTTATTTTATTTGTTATTTTTAGATATACATCATAATAGAATATATTTTGGCATATTATACCTAGATGGAGTAAAATTCTAATGAGGATCGTATTCTTGTGGTTATACATGATGTGGAGTTAATCTGGTGTGTATACAAACACAAGGATAGGAAAGTTATATCCGATTAATTCTACTGTCCTTCCAATTCTCCACCCCTCCCTTCCCTTCATTCCCCTTTGTCTAATCCAATGCATTTCTATTCTTCCCCTCCTCACCGTCCCTTGTTGTGGGTTAGCATCCACATATCAGAGAATATTTGGCCTTTGGTTTGGGGGGACTGGTTTGTTTATGTCATATAGCACCATATTCTCCATCTGCATACATTTACTGCCAAATGCTGTAAGTTCATTTTTCTTTATAATTGAGTAATATTCCATTTTGTGTGTAAACAATAAACCAATGGGGGAACTTTTAGTGGCTTTTTTTAATAATTGAAACCAGTAAATCTGAAATTGTGTACTAAACTAAAAATATACTTTGTACATCAACAAAATGTTTTAAATGAGAGTATTTTATATGTACACATGTACATGTCTAAATATACACATACATATATGTATATACACAGTACATAAATTAGCTATATATTTATGGTAGAGAGAGAAAGGTGGCAAAAATTCATAAATTATATTCTCAAAATCTCTTCTTCATTTGTTGCACTGGTAAGCTATCATTCTTGTCATTTTAATTTTAATGTTAATTTAAAATTACATCAACATGGTATCTTGATATGAGAGATTCACTGTTTTGTTTATGATATTCAAATATCCACAGACCTTCAACTCTCCAAGTCTCTGCTCCATGATTTCATATTCAGTGACACTAAGCTGAGGTATAGCAAGTTTGTTTTCTGACTGCTGGATCCATGTCCGGATGGTACTCATTGTTTCCTGATAGCGCATGGGTGGCAAAGTGTCAAAAACTACCAAAAGTGGGAAAAAAAAGAGAGAATCATTTAACCATTTGAAAATTTTGTCCTGTTTACCCAAGTGTCAAACTCACCCATGAAACTAAGTTTAACTATTAACAAAATGTGGAAATCTGAAACATAGAGTATAATTATGACAATAAATTCCTACCACTTGTCTGGTATGTCAGGAATGTCAAAATTGTACTGAATTTTGAAATCATTCTTGCAAACTCTATATTGATAAATTCAGATTGTAAGGTCAGGGAACAAATATACAGACAACTGGAGTTATTATTTTAGAGCCATATATATTATATTCAGAGAAAATGAGCAGTCTCTAACTACACCTAACTTCAGAGGCTACTCTTTCTGTGTTTGCCTTTGAAGAAAACAGTATAATTACCCAAAGTCCTAGATATTTTAAATTTTATCAGTCATCTCTGATTTTAATAAAACTAAACCAACTGAGTGTGTTGAGTATATATCAGGAATGCTAATACTAAGCCAATAAGTATTACCAGATCTAATTCTTATAATTAAATCTGTGAGATATGCATTGTTAAAACTATCTGAAATTGATGAATCTGAGGCTTTTTGTAGAAAGGCATTTGGTAGTGGTTTTGACAAAAAAAGATATATATATATATATATATATATATATATATATATATATTTGTGTACATGCCTTGTAATAATAAATATATGATAAAATATATGTGTATACTAGGCCTTTTATAATATATACTATGTATTATGGAATGTGCCATATACAATGTTTGTTTATTAAGTTCTGAAGCATGTACGTGTGTATACATAAAACTTTAGTTATAGTGACCATGTTCAATGAAATTAAACCTAAAATTAAGAATTTTGCTAACAATTGGAAACCATAACAATGACATAACAGATTTCAAGGATAATCAAAATGTACTTCTAGAACAGGAAAATGCAATATGTGAAAATCAGGAGAAATTGGATGTGTATAACAGTAAATTAGACAAGGAAGAACAAACAATCATTAAAGTGAAAGATACATGAGAAATGAATACTTGGAATGAAATAGACACATAGGTTAGAAAATAATACAACACCAGTATGATAGTCTAACATAAATGTACCCCAGAAAGAATGTGGCACAATTTATATATGAAGAGATAATAGCTATTGTCCTAAATGGAAAAAAAACATAACCCAAGGTCCAAGTTTACACAATTATATCATTAATTAAATATCATTCATTTTTATAGCTAGGAATTGAGTGTCGATTCTATATGCCAATTCCTTCTACATGAAATAGGAAATTATTTACATTTATCTGAGAGCTCATGCTCAAATTTAGTAGATTTTAATCTGAGCATTTCTGATTTCTCATTAAATTATCTCTATGGTACTTTCGACTTCACTGTTCCATTTCATATTAATAATGTTCCATTTCATATAAATAAAACCAGATATTTTTATTTGAATGTTAGATGATAATAAACAAAGAGGTACCTCTCGATTCTCAGTGAAATAGTTTGTTATGATGAAGTAAAAGGATGTGTCTGAGAAGGTATTTGAGCAAGAGATATTGAAAAAGAAAGCAGAGGCAAGGGGATATGATGGATGGATTATAAACTGCAAGAAGACTGATTTAATTGAAATTGAATATGTACATTCTGGAAAAGAGTGCTCGTTTCCCTTGTGACCATAGCTGAAACAAACGTGTATTATAAGCTTGCTAGAGGTTTTATTAATCAGCCCAATTTTATCCAGATGATGAGTGTATATGTCAGTAGAAGAGATAAGAAAGTGTTGGTGAAGATGTTCAAATTACTTTTTATTAGAAAGAGATCAACAAGTTTTTATGAACGTCTAATGGGATTGCTTCTCTCTTTTTTCAGAAACAGCTGTGTAGCATGACAATTAGAAAGTCTGATCCTGCAGTTTAGAAAACCTGGCTTTGGACTTGATTATCTATTTAGTAGTTTCAGGAACTTACTTCACTTTTTAGTACCTTAGACCTTATTTAATAGAAATAAGGATGATGATACTTTGAGGGCGATTAAAGGAGGTCATTCATTGATTATTCCTTCATTTGGCAATAATTTATTCAGTACTTTGAGCACCAGGAATTCAAGAAGTAAAAATAAAAGACAATAAAAACCTAAGTTCTCAATAATTCAAAATAGTTGGTAAGTCAGTAAATGAACTAATAGACAAATAAATAGATCATAATAACAAATAGAAATTTCTGAGGAGTAAGAAGATTTTACCAGGGCTGTGGGCAGGGGAGAGATCATTTCAGATCTTGCACTAAAAACAACTTAAGATATATAATTACATTCATAAAATGTTGGAACACATGAGGACTTACACAAATGATGGTGGGCAGCCTATAGGTCTGCAACAGCAGGGAGTCAGTACCATCCCAAGTGCTAGAGGTACATGGGAAGAGCTGGGATATAATGTCACAAGAACTCAGTCATTGGGGCCAGCCCTCAGGATCATGATTCACAAGGAACTTCCCTGTTGGGATGTTAGACCCTGAGATATGACATTTCCAAAAGGAGCTAGAACCTTGGAGGACTCATTCTCAGCCACTGATGGAAACACACCTGTTATGGTTTGGATGTGGTGTCCCTCAAAACTCATGTGTGAGACAAGGCAAGATCTGGAGGAGAAACAATTGGGTTATGTCCTTAACCTAATCAGAGAATCACTGATGGGATTAACTGGGTGGTGACTGAAATGGTAGGGTGTGGCTGGAGGAGGTAGGAATTGGGGCATGGCTTTGGGGGATATATTTTGTATATGGAGAGTGAAGTCTCTCTGCTTCTTCATCACCATGTGAGCTGATTTTCTCCTTCATACTCTCCCACCATGATGTTCAGCCTCACTTCTGGCCCTGAGGAATGGAGCCAGTCTTCTATGGACCATGACCACTGAAACTGTGCACACTCAAACTTTTCCTACTCCACAGTTGTTCTGGTCAGATCCTTTAGTCACAGAAGTGGAAAAACTGACTAAAACAACACCTTAATGCAGTAAGACACATATCCTATGTTATCTCCTTTTCCTACCTTCAGTATTTCATGAGGCATTCCACTGACCAACCCAAGCCAACAGCCTGTTTTTAAAAGAATCCTGAGCAATGAATTTTTAGTGGGAAGAACAGGGAATGACACTAAAAGCAAAAAGACAAATGATCTGCATGAGGACCATGGTGGGGAGTAAATAGAATTTGATTAAGAGAGGCAAGGGACATCCATATTTTTTCCAGTATGCTATTTCTTAAGTTTAGTTGTTTGGTATGCAGATTTTTTTTCATTATTCAAACTTTTATATGTCATAGGGCTTCCTTAGATAGAACAAAAGTATATAATAAATAAATAAACAGAAAAAGGGCAGCAAGTGACAAAGCAGTGATCAAAAGGCCTCTCTGTGAAAGTACCACTTGAACAATATAAAATAAGGGAAGGAAGAACCCATGTGAATAGCAATAGGAAAGGTTTTCCAAGTGGATAAAAATAAATGTAAATCTTCTGAGACAAGAATATTGGTAGTAGTGTAGGATCAATGCAAGGAGCAAGTGTATTATGAACAATGTGACCTAAGTGGAGTATGGTCAGACACAAGGGCATGGGAGTCTCCCTTGGGAGATATGATGATGAGGACCCATGAAGATGATAATGACATGCTGTATTTTACTCTTTATTATTCTATATCTCATAATTACTTAGTTCATTACTGAGTATATAGCACATCTGCTATGACTATTAGTATTAGCTATGAAAAGTGACACTAGAAAATAGGAAATTATAGGAGACACACTTGAATTATAGTAGAAATTCTAAGGGTTTAATATAATTTTTTTCATTCGATCAATAGAGAAAACTTCCTGTTCAGGAAGAGAGGAAAAGATGAATGGAGATATTTACTTTTATTAGTTTGGCAAAATCAGATCCTCTGCCAAATCCAAATATACTATTCTGAAATAATTTACAAACACACACATCAACTCATAAACATACACAATACACCTACATGTTTATTTTGACACAGACTCTGGAAGAACAGCAACTTTTCTCCTAAAGACTAAGAGAAAAGTTGCCAAATTATAGGAAAATGTTTCATGTCCTTAGGTTTACTTAAGCAACATAGTTTGAATATCAGATAATATTTAATGATTTTACACACATACACACAGAGACATATTTTCAGTGTTATTACCAAGGCATAAGTCATTATATTGCAAAGAATATTTAACCAATAATTTGTAAAAATGTTAAGAATAAGTTTAGGAGAATCTTGGCATTACTAGCATCCTGGAGAAAAAGTAAATTATATTTTCAATAATTATACTGGAGTGATCACTGTATAGAGTGAACATGTATTAAACTATCACACTGTGCCCCATAAATATATACAATTAAAATAGTGATTTTTGTAAAGAAATAGTAAACATTTGAGGTGATCAGTATGCCAGTTACACTCATCTTGTTACATATTGTATACATGTACTGAAATATACCCTACAAATATGTATACTTAAAATAAGTTAATTAAAAATGAACATGTATTTTAAATTGTTTTCTAAATTGTATCTATGTTAAATGAAAGGAAATACAGACTTGCAGATTTCCTATTTATCAAATGATTCAAAGAAATAAGATAACAAGAGCATGGTGGAATATATAACCAATACTTAAAATACAGGTATACTTTAAAATATCATATATTTCCCAAATTCAGTTGGCATCCATCTATGGAGGAGAAAAGGAAAGAAGGAAGGAGGGATGTAAAGATGGAAGGAAATGCAATAAAGTCAAATAACTAATTTATTTAAAGCATAGGATAGCATGAATTAAGCATCTCTAAAATCTAGGAAAAAGATGAACATTTACATATTTGATAGATTTTCCCATGATAACCAAAATAGTTCTAGCTGAATATTAAAATAATCATATGACTTGATAAATTGTTTTTCCATTAATTCTCGGAAAACCTAAAAATATACACATTAGTTTATA